GGTGCCCGTGGACCCGACGGCGCTAGATCCCCCGCCGGGAGCGGCGGCGGCGGCGGCCACCGAGACGTTGCTGGCGGCGGCGTCCTCGGCGGCGGCGCCGGTGTTGAAGGAGGAGTACATGCAGATCTCCCTCTCGCTGCGGGGGAAGGACCAGTAGACGATGCGGCGCTGGACGGGCTCCGGGATGCGCTCGAACCGCTCCTCCACCCGCTGGAACGGCCACTTCTCCGCCACGCGCCGCGCCGCGATGTCCAGCAGCGACTCCGGGCTCTGCGTCTTGCCCAGCGGCAGCACCCCCAGCGCTGCATAGGCGGCGGCGAGGGCGGGCGAGAAGGCGATCGCCGCTGAGGAGGAGGCGGCGGCAGAGGAGGAGGGTCCCGCGACGCATAGCGCGCCGCCGCCGCCGCCGCCCAGGCCTCCTTCGCCGCCACCAATCGCCCGCTGGCCTGGCCTGCACCCGGCGCCGTAGCCAGGTCTGCAGCAGAGGCGCTTGGCGGGGAGAGGGAGCTGACCGCGCTCCGCCATGATCGCGCCGCTTCTAAGCAGACAGCGGAAGTGGCTGTAGTCTATAAACGGCACCAGGAAGCCAGCGAGAGGCTGCCGGAGAATAGGCTCCGCCTCCTACTTCCAAATATGGGCTGGTGGGCGGGACCAACCGCCGAGCACGCAGACTGAGGGGAGCAAAAGGGCGGGGATATGCAAAAACCAGAGGGAGAAAGAGGCCACAAACATAAATAGAACGGTTCCCGAGGCCGTGTGCTCAGCGCGTCAGCGGTGACGGGGCGGAGATGGGGAGGGAGGAGGTCGAGTCGGAGGCCTGCGCTGAACGGATCATCGTTCGGAGAGGGGGGTGGGGCAATCCACACCCACCCGCTGATTTCCTTCTCTGTCTGTCTGTCCTCTTATTCCCTCACACCGCCTCCCCCCCCACGTCTCCTTCAAAGGGTATTTTACGTACACACGTCGGAGCCCACCCCCGGACGCGTCTCACGCGTGTTGCTCGTGGTGGGAAAAGGGGGGGGGGCCTGCCGGCTCCCTTTTGTGACACCATATAGGGAAATGGAATGTGGGGGCGGGGTCTCTCAATCCGGTCGTTTCGCTCTCTCGCGCTGGTGGGGCGGAGCCAACAAAAAGAGGCTCGGCGAAAAACGTCATGCTCACGAGACAAGGAAATACGGTACGAACCAGCCGGCCGATTAACCGCCGCTCCCGCGCCTGGAGCTTGAGAGAAGCGGGAAACGGGCGAGGAAGGAACGCGGCGCCCGTTAGACAGCATCCTTCGGGGGACGAGGACACGGAAGGCGGCCGGAGCGGGCTCCCGGGTCGGTTTCTGAAGCGGCTCGCAAAGGTGGGTCTTTGAGGGTCCCTGATTTTGAGGACAGTCTGGTGGAAAGGGGGTGGGGGTGGGATCTTTGAGAGGTTTCTGTGGCCGAGAAAGGGAGTGGGTCGGGATTTAGATTATTGTATGATTCGCTTTTGCGTCAGAATCGGCCAGAGAAAGAAAGCTGCGGCGGCTTGGGTCGGTGGCCCCTTCTGTCATGTCAGTCCGGCCTACCTGGCATGGCGGGTTTTGCAGGCCAAATGAGGAAGGGGGGGATCCGTGCGTGGCGCCTGCGAGGAAAAACTTTTCATTTCGATGAAAGAGCTGGAAAGCGGGAGACGACGGTCTCATCGTCCGCGCTGTCGAGAAAGATAGTGTCGCTGTGAGAGTGGGAAGTAGGTCTTTCTCCTTCCCCGCACGCTTAAATCCTCCTGCACAGCGTGCAAAGGACGGAGTTCGCAGGGCTGTGAGTCGTCAGGCGAGCGCGCGCAGAGGGTCGGGTCCAGACGCTGGAGGGAGTCGGTGAAGGTTCTGCCTGCGAGAGAAGCGCCCGTCGGCAGCGAGGATCCCTCCTGGAATGGCCGCGGGGAGGCTTATCATGGCTCCTTTGAAGTCCTTTCTCAACCAGAGCCCTCTTGGGCGGATGCGGGAAATGTTATCCTCGCCTGGCAGACGCGGGCACAGGGATATAGAGCCGGAAATGTAAACAGTGGGGGCAAGAGGTGACAAATGCCTGTGACATTTCTTGCGAAGCTTCAGTTGTTTTGCAGGATCAACACAATCGCCGCTGGCCACGGCACTGATGGGGCGATAACTCGAATTAGCATAGCAAAGCCAGGAAGATTAACACCTGTGGCTGGCCAGAAAGTAACGGGACCGAACTTGAGTAACCTTGAATGGGCTTTCATTCCAGGCATAATAGCGATTTAAGAGGACCCATCAAGTAGCTGTCATCATTCCACTTTTACTGTCCTTGCTTTTAATAGGTTTGCAACCTGGTTGGATCACTCCTGTTGATTTCATTTAGTGGTCAGTGTTACTACTGAGATATATTTTGTCACCTATCCTGTTATCCAAGAACTGTTTTTCAAATCAGGGCAGATTGATAGGAACCACCCCCTTTTTTCTTGCTTCTTCTCTTTGAAGTATTATTTTTGCAATGTATGAATACATATGGGGTTGGGTTAAGGGTAGGTTCCTAAATATCTTGCTCACAGGGGAAAAGAGAGAAGTAGTAATATAGCTCCAGTTGGAATAGGTTTGAAAAGTGGTAACAGTAAAAAGTTTGTTACCATTTTTCTTCAGTTTTTTTGCAGTGCTCTTTTTCATTCAACGATTATCCCCCAGCTTTTGGCAGTGCTTGTTCCTTCATTAAACTTGGTAGTTAATAGGAAGGGAATCACAGATTATACAGTCACATATATCTGCACTGAAGGGCTGCAAAAATGAGTTAAGTAAATGGGAGAACAAATTAAAATCCAGAAGCTGAAAAAAATCCCAAACTTCGATTAAAATTATGTCTGAATGTATTATAAACATATTCAATTCCATACAGTCAGAACAAATCAAATCCTTACAGTCTTTTTTTGCATAAAAGTATTTACCCAAGGGCACAAATATATGGCTTTTATGGTATGGTCATACAGTTCTGCAAACTATGGATTGCAGAACTGTGAAGGAACCTCATGGTGCATGTATTCTCTTGTCTCTTTCCTCTCTTTCCTGCCTTTCCTTTGAGATCCTGATTATGGTTTGGAGGGCGGGTGCTAAACATAGTTTGCCTGGCCACTAACCCCCTCACTGTATCTGAAGAAGTGTGTGTGCACACAAAAGCTTATACCTTGAATAAAATTTTGTTGGTCTTAAAGGTGCTGCCCTGAGCCTGCTTGCAGGGAGGGGGGCGTATAAATCAAAATAATAAATAAATAAAATAAATAAATAAACTTTGTTCTCCTGCTTCAGACCAGCATGGCTACCCACCTGAATCTATGGTTTACCAATGGGAGCATCATGGCAAACTTTCATTGTACTATTTATTTGTGTGTGTGTTTTTAAAGCGCGCACAAGGAGAAGGGAAGAGATAAGCTAGTCTTGCAAGTCATGGTTATATGTACTGTTTGTGAACTGATACTGAAATATTAAACTGATAGTTTAAATATTGTTTGTATGATAACATGGATGCTGATTTTCTTTCTCTGGTGGAGTGGGCCTGTTCTGGTCTGCAGCCCCTGTTACACCCTGTCCTCCAAGGTTCTCCCAACACCTGAAGAGGCCTTTCTCTCTGTCTGGTAACCCGCTACTACCACCTGACCTTTGCAGGAATTACCCACTGGGAGGGTTAGGAGGACTCCCAGCTTCCTTTCCAAGTTCCGTGGCCTTCTCTCTGTGTGTCCTGCTGCTCAGCATCTGGTCACCACGGGGACATTTTACTGCATTGTGTGCCCCTGGAGGAATAGCCACTTGCCAGCTGCCTGCCTCCCCCCTGGTGATCTCTTTTAAAATAGCATGCCCATGACGGTGGCGGTCCATGTGGTTCAGAAAACCACTACCAGCATCAAAAGTTATAATGTACTAGGAACAGAGGTCATTTCGGGGGGGAACGCGGGGGAACGCAGTTCCCCCGGGAGGAGGCAGGAGAAGAGGGAGGGTAAGTTGCTTCCTCCCTGCCTCTCCCCACCCCTGCCTGCCTGGGGCCAGGGAGGGCCTTCACGGGGCTTCCTTGCACTCCCGCCGGCCTTGCAGGTCCACCGCCGGTCCCCTCATGGGGCTCGGCAGTGGAGCTGCAAGGCCAGCACCGGCGGCCGAGACCGTTGGGGGTGGGGTGTGTGGCCTTATGACACACTTCCAGTGATGTCAGGGGGTGTGGCATATGCTAATGAGTTATGCTAATGAGTTCCCCTAGCTCTTTTTCTACGAAATGACCCCTGACTAGGAATAAGGATCGTTGTGGAAGTAAGTATAACAAGTTCTAGAAAGAGGCTCTGGGAGAGTGCCCTTGTATGAGCATGATCTCTGTGACCTGAAAGCCATTTCACAAATCAGGTCGGGGTGAGTCGGCGTTTGCCAGAAAATGGGCCCTGTAGAAAATGCTAGCACTTTGATTCTGTACATCCATGTGCAACCCATTGCATGCTAAATTCACATGTGCCATTGTTTTAGGGGGACAGTTTTCTTTTAAAGTAATACATGACAGGTTCCCAAGGGCTTGTAGCGGGGGGGGGGCCTTGCAGCTTCCCTCTCTCTATGCCTGCCGGGTTTGCCCTTGCCCCTCCCTGCAGCGCACTCAGTACAGTCTGGAGGTTGGGGATTGGGGGAGAGGGAGGCGGCTTTTTGGGAACCTCATGATGTGGCTTTTTTCCCTGCAGCTGCCAGCTGATGCTGCAAGCCAGCACACAAGCGGCCACGGCCACGCTAGAACAGCTGAGGGCAGCTACCACCAGTATAGAAATGGGATGACTGTTTGGGGAGGGGTCCCCGCCGCCTTCAGCCGCTTCCGCAGCCCAGCAGGGCAACCTGGACCCAAGGGACAGAGGCGAGGGAGGAGGGCTGGCCCCACTTAACCTGCCAAACAGGTGCAGGGCGCACTGCACCAAGAGGCCCCCGGAGCTCCGGCGCGTCTCCGCAGGCAGCCTGTTCAGTGGCGGTGGGGCGGGAGGAAGCCACTTGCTGCTCCGAGGCAGGGAAGGGATGCAACGATGGCTCACGGATAACAACATCCATGCCGAATTGGCCCTGCAATACTGGCGCTTCTTTCGTTGGCTTTCCTGGCGTGCCCCTCCATTTTGAAGACGCTAGGGCAGCAGACCAAGGCAGCATCGGCCATCAGATGCACAGCCCGATGGTGTTCGGGGGCGGGCTTTTACATGGCGGCAGCCTGGAGCAAGGTGAGTGCACCCTCTGTTCCCAAAATGAGCAGTGGGCGGCAGGCAGTGGCGGGCATTTCCCATGGGCAAGGCCAGGCGGGGTGCAGCAGCAGCGTGAAGAGGCAGGGCCAGAGCCTCCACCTTCTGAGGAAATGAGGAAAGTTTTGGGCGGCGCTGGTTCTGTGGGTGGGATGAAGGCAACGCAGCCAATGGCCAGAGACCCATTTCTGAGTGGCAGTTCAGGGACCCAATTGATTTGGGAGCATGTGGAACGTTCAGAAAAGACTCACACGAAAAGAGAAATATATAAGGAGAGATTTATTAAAAAATGTTCACAAGCA